GGGGGGGGGGGGGGGGGGGGGGGGGGGGGGGGGGGGGGGGGGGGGGGGGGGGGGGGGGGGGGGGGGGGGGGGGGGGGGTCGAGAGATGTAGGGCAATATGGTATTATTGAGTTCCTTCCACGTCGCCCGGCGTTCGTCGCCAGTTAGCGTTGGAACTGCTGTCTTCCCCATAGACAACGAAAGTGAAAGAATACAGAATTGTTAAGGATGAACGTCGTCACAAATAACGTAAATGAACCAATGCAGCTGTTCCAAGTCATCCACGCCCGACTCAACTCGTTTAGACACTTTCAGCCCTCGTCTCAACCGGCCCTCTTTCCATTTTCAATGAACCGAACGACGTCGTGCGTGACGCCAGGCGGCGGTGTCGGCGGTCGTGTTCCACGTTACCCACATGGTCCTGTCCGTCCTGCTCAAGTGGGTGCTGGTTCAGAGGTTTTCCCAGGTGGATGGTGTTTGCTGCACCACCTCCTGGCTGGGCTTCCGCAAGCAGGTAATGTAAATGCAGCAAAAGCTCGGACCAAGGCGCGGTCTTGCCAAAGAAACCCAACCAACCTTGTTCCTTTTGGATTTCTATTTTGCAGAACGCGCTCGCACTTAAGAACCCAGGAAGTAAGAAATTCCAGGAGTTGAGAAATTGAGCCTAAAACAATTAAAAAAAGACATTTTAGAGCTTGGCCACCATTTGCGAGCCCGGTTGAGAACCCCTACAACTAAAACCTATATATAGCGGTTATTGTAGCATATCCCTAGGAACTGCTGGTAACTAAGAACCCCTGCCTCGACCAACACGAGAGGTTATTAGGTGATGGCGCGTTCTGTACGAAGGGTGCATGTACCCCTTTTTGTGTAGTTGGCCAGTGACCACAGAAGGCGTCCGCGTCAGTTAGGAGCGTTGCAGGTGTCAGTAGGAGAAAACAACAACAATAGTCGTTCTTGATTTTGAGGACAACAACAGCGTTGGTGTCCGTCCGGGAAAGCTTTGATTCGCTGTGCTTGTGCCGTGGCATGACGAGGTGTCTCTTTTCGGGGGTATATGGTAGATATGCCGAAGGAGGATAGGGAGGTCTCGCAGATGTTATGGGATGCCGAAAGTGTTGTGAAAATATGTTGCGTTTCGCCAATAACTGCTGAACTCTCCGACGTCATGTGCCTTTTTTTCTCGTTGTTGTGCATCAAAACAACAATAGATCACGGACAGGCTGATCATGTCGGCGATGATGCGCTCGGTGCTCATGTTCAACGGTAACCTGGGTAACTCGTTGTGGCTGATGGCGCTGGGAGGCCCCGTGGGTCGTTGCGTCAGCGTGATGCTCAACAAGAACATCTACACGGAGGTGTGTATGAAGTACATTAGATCTGAAAATGTCGAGTCAACAGCGTCTTAGGTAGTGCAGGCTTTCTTCTGTTTGACGGATATGTTTCGGTGTGTTTCGTACGTACGTATGCAATCAATCTTTCTCTGCAGATGCCCTGCTCGTGTTTGCGTTTGTTGTTTCTTAGTCGTATTCGAGCCAAGGGTGGGTAAGGAGGGTGCGTGAAGTGGATCATGGCTTAAGACCATGTCTTGTCCGCACAGATGATGATCTTACATGCCCTCTGTTTTCGGCTTTGTTGTCCACCTTGGGGGTTTCAGTCTTACTATCTTTTCTTGCGGAATGAGCAGACAGCGTCGTCTCGATCTGCGAAAAGATTCAATAATGTTAGCCTCCGGTCATTACCTACTACGAGCGTTGGTTGGTGCAATCAAAGCGTTTCGCAATCAAGACCTTGCTCGTGTTCCGTTCGGTTCCTTTCTAGGACCGTGTTCCACCTGTTTTTGTAGAACTTCCAGTTCCCTCTTTACCTCAAGACTGGTGCTCGTTATTGTTCCTTCTTGCTACAGCGTTTGTTTGCGCCAGTGTTCAGCCCATACTTAACTCGGGGTAAGGAGTCACATCTCATTTCCCCTACTCGTTTGGCTCTGTCAAATGCGACTTCTGACATGGCGGCATCTCTCCCTCCTCCAAACCGACTATTTCTGTTCGTGCGTGCGTGTGTGTTCAGCCGGAACTCTTGACCCTCGGAGATGACATGCACGTGGGCTTCGCGTCTAGCACGTACTGCAGCATCTACACGGCCCCGAATTCGTTCACCCTTAGGAAAACCTTCATCGGCGACAGGTGTGTGTTGTGTGTTTGTATTATTAGCATCGACCGCGCTAACCGGCTGACCAATGAACGGACGCCAGTCTTGTAGCTAGCGGGATGACAAACGTAACGGACAAGGTTGGTAATCAAATCAAAGGGTTATACCGGCAGAGGGGACGCAGGAGTTGGACGATAGTGTCCTGTGTGTGTGCCTAATGTTGTGAACATCGACCGCGCTAACCGGCTGACCAACCAAAATACGTCAGTCTCGGTGTATGTTACGTTGTGTGTCCTCGCTTGTTATCATCGACCGCGCCTAACTGGCCGACGAACAACAACAACAACAACAACAACCGTAACAAAAACCGTGCTAGCAACAATGCCTCCATACACTGACACCCGCCCGATCCCGTCCAACCC